GCCAATACAGCTGTTTTGTGGCTCCCAAAATCCATCCAGAACAACTGTAAAAGCCAGAGATCTGAATGCAGGAGGGCCCCTATTCCAGGCCCTGTAGGATGGCACGTGACAGAGAAACCCCTCACCATGGGGAGCATCCCACAGCCTGGAATCACAACCTGGGATACCAAATAGATTATTTTTCCTCCTACCTCACTGGTTCTTCAAAATTGACAGGAATTTTTGTGCTACCTACTGGTCACCTGCCACTTCCCTATTTTAATTTTAACGCTGATTCATCACTCCGAGCCCTCACAGGGCATGCAATCCATCTCCTGGCCCTTTGCCACGATTCCAAGCAAAACAACACTCAGGTCTTGGATCTCCTTTCCCTTGAGTAAAACAAACAAACAAAACAAAACAACCCCCAGGAAAAAACAATTAAAATTTACCCTTTTCTTGTTCTGGAGTCCCCTGTCTCTGTAAAGGAAGAAAGTGGGGCTTTCTGAAGAGCTATTAAGGTTATGGCAAAGAGCTGTTGCCATCAGGACATGCAGTGCTGAATTAAAATTAAGGATGGAAATGTACTGTTACAAGGCAAAGGGGAAACTTATACAGAGAAAAAAAAAAGCAGCCTGAGATCCTTGTCTGCGTTCTAAAACCGAACAGGTTGGTGCAGAGAAGTGAATTGTAACTGTTGTCAGTCACCGGTATTTCATTATCAGGCATGTCTGAACCAGAAATTTGGCTGCTCCCTGCGTGAAGGTTTGTCCAAACTGCCAGAGCTCTTTGATGGACAGGAGAGCGACATCCCTGCATCCCCCTCTCACACTGCAACCACGAGACACAACTCAAAACATCAGTCCAGGCCCGAACCCAAAGCATTATGTTTGCCCTAACACCCAAATTCGTGTTAACTCCTGCAGTGTTTGCTTTGACCAATGATTGCTGGGTTAGAGATTTTTGAGGATGTTTCTCAGCATCCCAATTCCTGGCTGGAATCTTTCTTGCTTTTGTGTACATTATGCTGCAACCATGATGAAATGGTCACAAGCTCCCACAGGAATTGTTCTGCCACCTCAAGCCACTGGGAGGGCTCTCCTCCCTAAAGCAGCACAGGACAAGAAAGCATTCTGAAAGCACAAGAGATAACCCCAGATCTGAGAGTAAGAAAAGGTAGGTAACTCCTTGGAGTAAGAGAAGGAATGCTGACACTATGCCAAGACTCACATTTTGATACTTAAAGAAGGGAGATTTGATTTTTTTGCTCTCTAGTATGGCTAAATTGATGACATTTGATATCAAGTAACACATTCGTTCTGTTTGAGAAACCCTGTACATGCCATGAAAACCATCCCAAGAACTAACAAGCACACAATTCCAACATTTTCTTGGATAACTTCATGCCTCCCACCAGCTCTAGCAGTCCATCTGCTCATGCTGACACCTGGCCAGCAGGAGCTGTGGGCTTGGGGAATGCAAGTTTTCAGATGGCAACAGCTTCTTGCTACTGAAAAGATGCGACATTTGAAATTCGATGTTACCTCTGCGTATTTTAAGTTCTCTTCAAAAACGAGCTCTGTGAGGCTGCAGCACAGTTTTTCCCACCCCACGGCCCTCATTTCACAAGCTCAGCATTAGCACTGCACAGAGTAAAGGTGATAATAAAAGAATCCCTTGTTGTTCACATCCCATATCAGACAAATGGTGGGTGAAGCTGTACCTGCTTCATGAAAAATTAGACTAAAAAAAACCAGCTCCAAAGCCCCCACTGTGCTGCTGTGCAGCTCTGCAGCAAGCCTTGGCTTTAAGGCTGTTTCAAAGGCAGGTACACACAAGCCAAGGTCCTTTATCCACTGCTGGAACTCCTCAAAATTTCCACTGGGAATCTGGAAACAGCAACAGCTACACACAGAGGTAGCTCGTGGTAGCACAAGAGAAGAATTTACCAGGTCCTTAAGAGTCTGAACCGCAGAACTCTGATTTCTTCTTGTTGCCATATCCTATCCCATTGTGCCTTGTCAAAACAAGTCAACGCTGCAGGACCAGCACCAAGGAGCACTGAATTCCCCAAAATCCATCCTGGAATGGATGCTTCCATCCCAGGATGGACTTTTTGCGTGGAATTGTGACGGATATTGTGTGAAAGCAGTGGTTCCCAGCAAAGTGAGAGTCTGACTGGAGTACCTGACAAATCATAGCCCAGTTACAACAATGTGCTTCCTTCAAGGTGAGTCCCAAACTACCCAAGACCACTGAAAGGAGACACTTGGAAGTTTTGGAACAGTCCATACCAGATTGGAAACCTACAAAAACTTTCATCCTTTGCAGAATACAACTTTTTTTTTCTTACTACTCTAGTTAACAGCCCTGAAGTCTTCTGTATCAGGGCAATATACTCAGTAGACTTCACAAGCACCTTTCAAGCTACCAATAAAAAAACTTTATTCTTATTACTATGCTTTGTACTTTCACATCCAGAATGTTGTGGAGAACAGGAATATTTTCATAGCTAAACAACAGAGGAAGAAAAGGCCCAGCTAACAACTTTTCTGATTAGCACAGAAATACTAACAGCTAATTTTAGAGCCCTTTAGTTTACACTGAAGTTTCCATGCTAAGCTTTACTCCCACAGAATTACTCACAATAAATGTCAGCAGGAATTTGCATGGTTTAAACAGGTACATGGCACACCTTTAAAACACAATTACAAAAAACCAACCCAAACCCCAGTTCTAATCATTAAGAACAATCAGGCTGCTTGAACAGTCAGCTCCTCACATACCAATCACCATGCTGAGTTAACAGCCCACAGCCCAGCCCAGCAGAACGTTCCATACCTGTGTGAATCCTGATGTGTTCTATGAGCCGAGCTGTTCCTTTGCTGGCGTAGTTGCAGTATCGACACTTCAGCTTTCCATCAAACGTCCTTTCGAACCCATCCACCAACATTCCTGAGTTTTCATCCAGTGAAACTTCAACAGAGGGATGGTCCAGACCATTCTGATCACCTTCTGTCCCAGCTGTGGGCAACACCACACAGATTTTAATTAGGAACCTGTAGGACACTGTCACGCTGTGAGAATATGCCAAATACCTTCTGCTTCTCTATGCCCTTGGTCTTTAAATATACAGAACCATGAAGGTACACACACATCTTTTGTGACGTGAAAATGGCTGTCAGAAATGCTTCCATGCAACTGCAGCACCTGCATAATTACCTGGACTGTAAACAGTGCAGTCACTCTCAAAAAAAGGCAAATCTATGGCCCTGAAATGAGCTCACCTCCCTGGAGAGTTTCCACTTCCTTGTCGCCAGTAACCGATCCGGAAATCATATTGACATGGTGAGTCTGCTGGGTGAGATATTCCTGAAAATCTTTCACAAAGTCCAGTGGTTCTGCCTTCTTCTCCCCCATATTGGCTCTTTACTTTTACAACCCCTTGTGCCTAGAATTAAAAAATGCTTTCAGAACAGAGGTGTCGCTGGATTTGAATGCACTCATAAAAACAAGTTCGGGTTTTGGTTTGGGTTTTAACTGAAGGATTATTTTTATCACACAGCACGACTCTGTGCACAGACTGACAACCACAAGAATATTATTTTTAGAGTTTTTACCTCATTAAAGATCGCCAAATACAATTGAGGGGGAAATGGTTTTTGGCAACAGTAACATCATGACAATAACAAATCAGATAAAATGATGTCATAATCAAAATCAACTTGCCTTCTTTTTAAAAAAAAAAAGGATCATACCTGAATTTCACTTCCCTGCTAAGTGGCAAACATGCTCCAAAACGTACTCCCAACACACCAGATTAAAAGCACAGAGCACAGCTTCTCCACTTTCCCTGCAAGAAGAGAAATGAAATGCAAGTCCCTTATTCTTCCCAACTCCTGGGAGCTACAAGAAAGAAACTTGAAAAAATATTTATGTTTTGGAAGACAGGCTCTAAAACTAAAAGCTTCTAAAAGCTTCTCAAAGACTGCATCCCTTCCTTCTTGTTATCTCATTAAAGGACACTTCTGTCTCACTGAGCATTTGAACAGTTTCTCTGATGAACATCTGGCTCCAAAAAAATCCCACAGCTGGGTCAGTCAGTTATGGCAGCTGTAATGTTGGGAAACCAACTGAATGTTGGGGAGCAGCAAAGATGGAAAGAAGACTTTGAAAAAAAAAAAAAACACTGTTTCACAGTTCCCCCAAAGTTTTAAGTTTCCTATTCTGAGTAAAAGTCTTAATCCATTTCATCATTTTGCATTGAAATAAAAACATTCACCAGAAGTCCGTGGTCAGACTTTTTCTGGGGACTCTAAATAACAAACCTCTATAATAAAGTCTCAATTCAGAATGAATTTGGGAAGACAGATTTGGGGATTCAGTTGGAAAGAGGACAACGAGTCTGTCACATTATTATTCCTGCAGATTACAATCAGAAATAATTGACAATGCTACAATTTCAATAAGAATATCCTTGATTTTTTAAATAGCTACTAAACAAAGCATCAGGTGACCCAGAGAAACTCAAGCTCTGAGTTTAGGACCACATTTCAACATCTTCTCCTGTGTTTGCAAAGCCACTCACAAGTGTTTGTTTGTTTTTGGCATCCAGATGAGTGTGTTCTCTCACATCATAACCAGATATGACACCAAACTTCACACACCAGACCAGCATTTGTTATCACCATTACCTTAGTCTGGAGCACATCTTTATGTATCAGTCTTGCCTACCTTCCTTCAGGTGTCACCAGCCCCGTGTAGGCTTAAGTTAATTTGTGTTCCATTTGTTGGTGTCTCCTGCAAAAAAACAAAAAAAAAACCCAAAGGCATCAGGATATGAATTAAGGATAGGGAAGAGAAAAACAGGATAATGTAATGTAGGGTTCTGACCAGGCCAGATTTCCACTAATTATTGTAATAAGAAATAACAAGTTAAAATGAAACCAATTCTAAAGAGTGAATCACAGAATGGTTTGGGTTGGAAAGGGACCTTCAAGACCATCCAGTTCCAACCCCTGCCATGGGCAGGGACACCTTCCACTAGCCCAGGTTGCTCCAAGCCCCGTCCAACCTGGCCTTGGACACTTCCAGGGATGGGGCAGCCACAGCTTCTCTGGGTACCCTGTGCCAGGGCCTCACCACCCTCACAGCCAACAATTCCTTCCCAACATTCCATCTAACCCTGCCCTCTGGCAGTGGGAAACCATTCCCCCTTGCCTTGTCCCTCCAGACTTGTCCAAAGTCCCTCTCTGGCCCCCTCGGAGCCCCTTCAGGCACTGGAAGGGGCAATGAGAGCATCCCAAAGCCTTCTCTTCTCCAGGCTGACCAATCCAATTTCTCTCAGCCTTAACTGAGAGATTAATTGCTTTTATAATGACATTTAATTCTGAAAGAAAACTACACAAAATTTCAAAAAGAGCCCAGGGGAAAGACATTATTTTGGTGATCAAGTGCATAAACCTTCCTCTCTGTGCCTTGTTGATTAAACATGAAAACACTAATCCTTTTTTTTTCACAGCAGTGGAGGAAAGTCACCACAATTTCAGCACCACCCCAAACCTCCCATTATTTACTCAAAAGGCTGAGGGAGTTGGGGCTGTCCAGTCCAGAAGAGGGGACCTCCCCCATGTATGTCAGGGGCTGTAGGGAGGGGGCAGAGAATGGACCAGGCTCTGCTTGGGGAGGGCCCAGCAATGGCACAAGGGGAACGGGCAGGAACTGATGCCCAGGAAGCTCCACCTGAACATGAGGAAGAACTTCTTGGCTGGGCAGTGACTGAACACTGGAACAGAGACCAGAGAGGGTGTGGAGTATCCATCACTGCAGATATTCCAGAACCATCTGGACACAATCCTGTGCCATGTGCTCTGGGGTGACCCTGCTTGAACAGAGAGGTGGGACCAGATGACCCACTGCGGTCCTTTATCACAGAATCACAGAATTATAGAATATGCTAAGTTGGAAGAGACCCACAAGGATCATTCAGTCCAACCCTTAGCCCTGCACAGGCCCATCCCCAAGAGTCACACCCTGTGTCCCAGAGGATCATCCAAACCCTCCTGGAGCTTTGGCAGCCTTGGGGCTGTGCCCACTGCCCTGGGGAGCCTGTTCAGTGCCAACCACCCTCTGGGGGAAGAACCTTTCCCTGAGATCCACCCTGAGCCTGCCCTGACACAGCTCCAGCCATTCCCTGGGGGCTGTCCCTGCTCCCCCCAGAGCAGAGCTCAGTCCTGCCCCTCCTCTGCCCCTGCCCAGGCA